TATTTTTACCAAACATTTTTTCACTGCTTAACCTTAAAGTGAAGCTTTTTTTTGGTGAAAAAAAAAAAAAGCAATACCAAACTGGGACTAAATTTTGTAAATTAAATGATATGGAAGTTGATGATTGAATTATTACTTAAGTGTTGATTAAAATGCTTATTTTTTATTGTTGACAAATTATTTAATTTGTAATTTTAGTATTCAAATTTAGTTAACCTAACATTACTCATAATATTTTATTTCATGTATAGGCAAAAGATCTTGTGAAACTCAAAATCTTTTATTTTCTAAAAACTTAGCCCAAACATCTCCTGAACAACGTTCACATTTGTGAAAAACACAATGTTATATACTTTTGAAAAAATCTATTCAAAATATTCAGCATGGGACTGCAAAATAAAGCAAGTTAGATGTCATCTTCAATGTATATTTGATTTTCAGCTGCCACGCAGTCTCGTTCGTTTACGGGTCATACAATTCGGCCATCGACAACTCATGTGTTATTATTATTATTATTATTATTTATCCTCTACTAAAAAGCTTTTTAAAGAGATCTGACTTGCCAACTAAAACAAAGCCCCATGAAACAGATTAGACTCAAAAAGTTCATACAAATCCAAAAATAGATTCCAAATACATGAACAAGTCATCCTTTCTTTTATCAATTGAGAGAGAGAGAGAGAGAGGGTAGGTTGTTTCTAATTCTCACACCGTCCAAGACCGACCTATCGGAGACGGGTTCTTTTCAAAACCATATTTAAAAAAAAAAAAAAAAAAAGAAACTAATAAAAAATGTTTAAAAATTTTGAGTTTTAACGATAAAAACAAAATAAGGGGTAAAGTGAATAATACCAGAATTGACTTTTTAGTGTAAAAATGTAATTTTTCGTTAAAATGAACATTACCGGAAGTTTTTCGTTAAAATTCTCTTAAAAAAATTAATAACATATCCTAAATGATTTTAAATTAGTATTAGTGAGTTTTTCAACCTGTTTGTTAGTCAAGGACAAAACCCTACTTTATGGAAAAGATTTAAAATCGAATCAAATCAAACTTCACTCGTTTACTCTTTAATGAATTAATTAATGATTTTGAGTAAGGTACGTATAAACAATGGTTTTTGATGAGTTTAATCGTAGAAGCAAGGACCCTCTTAGACATTTTAATTAATTAGAAAGGAATTTAGATATGTTTTAATGCCTGCAACAAAACACGAGGCTACGAACCAGATTAGACCGATGTGTTCGTGGGAAACCTCCAATAGTTGGATTACAAGAGACCTTGAGTATTTCTGCGGAAGATATTTTCATATTTGTATGTCTTTCTTCCTTTTTTCTTAATAAAACAATGATATTCATATGTCGGAAAGCCAAAGCGTTTTTTTTGTTTTATTTTTCTGTGGTCAAATATAAAATCAAAGGGTTTTTGTGTGGGGATTATACGTGTGTATATATCCATCCAATAAGCTATGAAAAGAGTTAGCACTAACGATATCATGATCCACATGGATTATATAAATAGAAGATTAGCGTTTAGGTTGTAATGGCTACAGTGGTATATAATGCTTTCTTGCCCTGAGTTGTAATTTGACCTTTGATCTCGAGATTAAAAAGTATTAACTTTCAACTCAAATTTTTTTTGGTCAATAACTTTCAACTCATGCTTTCACGATCTTAGTTGTCAGGGTTTACTTTTATATGTTAAAATCATGCTTTCACAAGTTGAGAGTTAGTGTTTAAAAACGGATTTTCCACATTGGTTTCATTCATGGCGTATTTTTAAGAAAAAAATTATCAAAAATGTTCAAGCAGTCTGCTACGTCTAGCATTGTTTTCATCTAAATGATATTTTTACGCTTATTCATTTAAATTATAGGTAGAGGGATATTCAAACTTGGGTCTAAAAAAAAGAAAATTGTTCTAGCTAACTTCGCTAGCTAAATACAAATATGCTATTTATTAGTGTTACATCAAATTATAATGTCAATTAAAACACACACAAATTGTTATTATTATGCTTAATTAAGTTAAATCAAGTCTCAATCAGTGATTAATTTGTTGACCATAATGATTAACTAACGAGAAACAAGGTTAAGGAGTAATCTATTGAGGAAGAAGGAAGGAAAAGGGTATGGAATTTGACAAAAAAATATAAAGTACGTAGCCAGTGTCGGTTAATATTAAAAGCGAAGGAACAAAGGAGCCATTCACGGACCAAAAGTTCAGGACAGTTCTCTCTTTTGCTCTAAAGACTTCAACATCCACACCGAAAAAGCAAATTAAAAACAATAAAGTATAGGTGTATTATGCTTTAAAACTTCATGAACAAAAACAAAAAGACGAAAGGAAAATTTACTTTGGAACATTCTAAAAAGAAGAAAAGAAAGAAAAGAGATGAACGAACGTCATTCTTCAGGGCACCTTTGGACTTTGTTGGAGAATATTCTCTTATCCAAATCCATTGAATTAACTGGCCAAATTCCATGGTTCACGTTGTTCGTTTGAATATTGCATGGGAAAATTCCAACGAGTTTAGGGTAAGGTCGGCTACTTTCACCATCAATAATTCTTCAACAACTCCTTTTACGTACGTTTTATTTCAACCAGCTTTCTGTAGAACATTTTTTTCTAGGAAAATTATGTTTCAATAGATTTCCAGAAAAGGAAAAAGCGATTTCATGTTCATACCAGACAAAGAAACCATCAATGGAAATACAGTAAGCCAGAAAATCCTCAATTTACAGATGCTAATTCAGCCCGTGTGCCATGTGATTAGATTGTGAAAATATTAACCTTCCTGGAATTAATAATAGGTCGAGCAGAAATCTTTATATTATACTTGTGCAGTTATTTCGACAAAAAAAAAAAACTTATGCAGTAATATATTCAAACAGAATACTATATATATGTGTGTAGTCGTAGGAAAGATCTTCGAAGCTGTACTCAATTTTGAATAGGCTATCTTTCATGTAATTGAAATATAGTTTAATAATATATAGATCTATCTATGAATATGAATTAATATATATAATTGTAAATAGTATAGCAAAGCTTATGCGTATTCTACAACCTTATTTAATTTACAAGTTGAATGATAAGAGAGAACAACATTGCACGATAAAGCATCTGGCCAGGCAACTAATAACTATACTATTTGTATTAGTTTTAAATTTGATGATAATTAACAAATGGATATATCATATTGCATGCATGTCCTCGTGACCATAGACTACAAGCTTGTTGATGCATTGCCGATGCGGCCCATTACTTATCTCATGTTTACACTTCAACTATTGACAAGTGGAATTAATTATTGATTTGTTTAAGATTAACCAGCATTATATATAAATCTAATTCGACAAGCATTATTATTTTCAGTTGTAGACGAAGCTTAAATCAAGAAAACTAAGAAACAATTATCAGTCAACGACGAGTACGTACGTGCCCACCTCATCATCCCAATTAACTGGGATGAATCTGTTAAACAATACAATTTATATCAATTAATTATGATAATTAACGTAGTTATATCCAATATCATTATATTAATGTATAAATCAAGTCTGATATATATATATATATATATACACACACACACGCTAACTGGGGATGTCATCACCAGATACCAACAAAGATTTGTTTCTTATAAAATTGCTGTTTTTATAACAGGGAAGAGTAAAATTTGGGATGAGGATCCTCACTGGATTTTCTTTGTGGGGATTTGAATGATCAATCAATCGTGTTCGTTCATCGTACGTTGTGTGGTTAATTTTCGTTAAGTACAATTTGTGTTTAATATTTGTAAATAAAAAAAATTTTAAAATGATTTATGGCAATGCACAGATACGATTTATTGATCTTATGGATCCCAACAAAAAGGATATGGATAATATCCTAATCCTAAAACTTGATCAAGTTAAAACTTAAAGGGTTGGAACTTCTCTTCTTTAGTCTTCAAGCCCTTTCTTAATTTTTATTTTATTTTTTATATTCGTTAATTGGTCGCAACTTCAATATTATCAATTCTATTATAGCTTGCCACTTGTCTTATTAATTAGGATAAATTACATAAAATTATCTCAATTATGGGTCGAACCACAATCGTATATTGAATATATGAATCTCTATTAATTTTAAAAATTATTTCAAATTTTAGTTGAATATCTCTAGATTTTATAGTTTTATATTGAATATATATATATATATATATATTTTTTTTTTTTTTATTAACTTCAAAAGCTTAATTGAATATTTATAGTTAAATCTTTACAATTTCATTTAAAATCTTGATTCAATAACTCTAAATTTTTTAATTCCTTTTTAAAGTTCTAATCTCAATTGATTACACCCCATTAAACTCATTTCTGATTTGGTTTGCAATTTCCTTATAGTACTGATTTCCCAATTCCTTTCAACAAATCAGCTACTAAAACCAAAATTTGAACAAAAATGTTACTCGTACCACATTTCTCGTATCACATTTATATTATTTCTTTAATATAAATGAGACCCACAGGTGTTGGTGGGTTCTACCTCTATTAAAAAGATGATATAAATGTGATATAAAAAATAATGTGGTGAGTGTATCGTTACTCAAATTTGAAAAAGAAACAACACATCAAGTTGTGATATGGTGGAACTAGGATTCTTTCCCCTTTCAAATTCCTTTCTTTTCTCTAACACTATCTTTGTCTTTCTCTCTTTATGAAGTCAGCACAAGATATGTCGTTGCTTAATCATAACTGTTTAAATAAAAGAGAAAAATAGAGAGAAATTTAAAGAGAAAAGAATCCTACTATGCTTTGTGACCCTGCACAATTATTCTGTCCATATGCACCGGCATTCTCTTCCAAAAATTTAGGAGCAATCAATCACCCTAAACGTCAATTTCAACGTAAAATTCATTATCGAAACAATATCACGAAACGAGAAAATGAGATGGTGATGAGCGGGGCATTCCTTTAAATTATTAATATTTTGCCTGTATAAATTAAAGAACCAATACCATTAATTTCATTCCCTCAACTTTTGTCAATGGCTTTCATAGCGATTGCTTGACTGTTGAACACAACAAACACCTTCACGTTAACCTCTTTTCTCTCTCCAGTTCGTTCATTCTCTCTCTCTCTCTCTCTCTCTCGACATTTCTCAATCGAAGCAAAAAACCCAGTTGGATTCAGGGCTTTCTGCAATGGAAAATCAGCAGCAGATTGCAATGAAATCGAGATTCAGCCGTATCTGCGTTTTCTGTGGCAGCAGTGCTGGCAAGAACCCGAGCTACCAGCTCGCTGCCATTAAACTCGGCAAAGAATTGGTAACCCTTATTTCTCACTGCTGTCTTCACTCTTTGTAAAGTTCATACCCTTTTTTACCCTTACATGTTATGAAAATCGAAATTTATGTGTCATTCTTCGAAATTAATCGAAGATTGAGGTAGCCATTTGCTTGTTACTTTGAGAATTTAACTATTTAGAGAGACCCAAAAGCATTTTTCACTTGGGTCTGATATTGTTGCAGCATATGATGAGACACGCTAGAGCCATTGGTCTTTGAATTTCAATCTTTCAAATCCCAATTCATAAAAAGATGGTAACTTTTGGATCATGGATATTTGAGATTTGGAGCCATTTCTTACATCAGTTTCCTAAGCTAACCAATTCTTGTTATTCATTTTAGATGTATGATAATGCGTGATTGATTTAAAATACTGTCACAGTTATATGGTTAAAGTTAGAATAATAGTGATGTATGGATTATGAATAATTGAGAAAAATGATGATTAATTAAGGATTAAAAAGTGTAATTATAGGGTTTAATTTAATTTACAATAGTGTAAATGATAGGTGTTTGACCATAAATTATATTAATTAGATGAGATGTTTGAAGGGGAGTATGATTCTCTCCTTTTTTTTTAACTTTCCTTTTATCTCTTCTTATTGGAAGAGTTAGGTCACAATTACGTTAATATATTACATTAATATTTTTTAACAAGAAAAAGATAAAATATAAAAATATAAAAAGAGGAGATGGAAATGATGGAAAGAGGATATCTTTTCGCAGGTTGAAAGAAGCATCGACTTGGTTTATGGAGGAGGAAGCATTGGACTGATGGGTCAGGTCTCCCAAGTTGTCTATGATGGTGGCCGCCACGTGTTGGGGTAAAATTCTTGTCACTCTCTCTCTATCTGCCCTGCCTTTTTTGAAATTTTTATTCATTTCCCATCTTGATTTGTATTTTGTTTTCATTGATTTGCAGAGTAATTCCCACAACTCTCATGCCAAGAGAGGTATTTTAATTTCTTAATTATTATGTATTTGTTTATTCTTTTATTAGTGTTAAGTGAAGATACTAAAATAAATAATTATTTTATAATCACAGATCACAGGAGAGCCAGTGGGAGAAGTAAGAGCTGTATCAGGCATGCACCAACGCAAAGCAGAAATGGCTCGCCAAGCTGATGCCTTTATTGCCTTGCCCGGTATGGTAGCAGTGTTTTAAACTAATCACGTTATGTAACAAGATGAAATAAATTTATTTATATCCAGAATGTCAATGTGACTTTGTTTCAAACTAATCACACATTATCATGTGTTTAAGTTTTCTTTATGACAATGCATTATTAATTTAAAAAAGCACTTCTCCAATGAATCATTCATTTGTTTGATTGCAGGTGGCTATGGTACCTTGGAAGAACTGTTGGAAGTGATCACTTGGGCACAGTTGGGAATCCATGACAAACCGGTAATTAGTAATAAGCATACGAGAAATTCACCTTTGGTCCTTGTAAATTAAGTAGGTTTAGTTACAATTAGATGTTAATTAATTAAGAAGTTAATATTTTGGATGATGTAGGTGGGGTTGTTAAATGTGGATGGATACTACAACTCACTACTATCCTTCATAGACAAGGCTGTGGATGAAGGTTTCATTGACCCTGCAGCTCGTCACATTATTGTCTCTGCCGAAACACCCCACGAACTCATGTGCAAACTAGAGGTACATTTTTGTAATTGTCAAATCTAAAAGATCCATTTTTCTTAATATTTACGAGCACTCAATGTTGACACATATTTGACCGTTAAATTTAAAGAAAAACTAATGAAAAGACCTTGAAAATTTTGAGTTTTAACGATAAGGACAAAATAAAGGGTAAAGTGAATAGTACCATGATTGACTTTTTAGTGTAAAAATATGGTTTTTCGTTAAAGTGAACAATACTGAGAACTTTTTATTAAAGTTTCCTAAATTTAATTCAAAAGCTTGTCCGAAGACGGTTCGATTTTGATCCAACAGTCTGGTTTGAAAAAAAACTTCTTCTGCTGTGCTGTAAGAATAAGCTCATTTTTGTTGTTTCACATTTTCAACTTTTTTTCATCCAAAATTGTGAAAATAAGTTTTTAAGTGTTTACCAAACAACTTTTTGAGTTCAGTTTTTTTTATACTCACTTTTTATAAAAGTATCTCAGTACCAAACCAGTACTAAGTACGTACATGTACTTGATAAAAAGTGCTAAATGATATGACTCATGAGATCTGAGCCGTCCAATTGGATGGCATGATGCAGATGGGGTTTTTTGATGTTGATTGAACAAACCTGCAGGAATATGCTCCAAAGCATTGTGGACTGAGTTGGGAGATGGAGCAACAACTGGAATACACGGCAAAGTCAGACATTGCACGTTGACCAGTCTATCTTGTCGTCGTGGAGGATTTGTGACCGTTAGATTAATACAGCAGATTTGTTTTCTTAAAATACACACAATTAAGCAAGAGCAGTCAACCATTTGTAGATGTGAGCTCCTTTAGAAAAGTGCCAACAACACAGTTGTTTTATTTAGCTGTGGATCACGCTTTTGTATTTCTTTTTTTTTTCTTGTGCTTTTTTTTTTATTTAATTTTTGCTAATTAGAATCTGACCTGGATCACAATACCTGTGATTTGATTACTAGTTCTTCACGTCGGTGATTCATGATGTTTGTATATTCTATTGATTCCATTCATAATATAGTTTCAAAAATTGATTGGCTGTTGCAAGTTGTTTTCATGAAAAAAAGGACTGATAGTGATGTGGAGAGGAACATTACGTAGATAATCAAGGAAGAGGTGAAATATAAAATGACGGGTTATGTTGTATTACAAATTTATTTAATTTAATATATATGAATATGATACGATTGACACGTTTTAGATTTAACGTATTGTATTGGTAAATAGAAGAAAGAAGATTAGGATAGAACTAGAAACGCGAGTGAAACAAGAAAACTATCAAGGTTTAAGACGAAAATCAATTTAAGTGTTCCAACATAACCGGATTAGTAATACCAAGTAGTGATACTTCTTGAACCAAGTGAGAGGAAAGATATTCTTTTATCACCAATTCAGCGCGTGCTCAAGCTCCTATTAGACAGGTAATTCACTTTTTAATTACATGAGACAAATATCGATCGGTTGAATAACGTTGTAAGAGAGAATTTCGAAAGAGAGGGTGAACTTAAGAGTTCTTTTAGCATTGGATATTGAATGTTTATCTAAATTCACTCTTTCGTTCTCAACACATTGAATTGAACTAATTCTGTTGATATTTTCCTACTCTTTATCCATTCTTTGAGTGAGTGGTTTGAAGAGTGTCTGGACCTCGACTCTGGAGATTATTTTTGGGTGGTGGCTTGGTTGGTATCTAGGCTAAGGTCGTTCATCATGCAAAGTAGTGGACATGACACCTGTCATTGACCGTACCATTCACAAACTGCCCAGTGTACAAAAGGAAAGCGAAAAGTTACGGTGGAAAAGCAAGTGGCCCTCTCCTTTTCTTGGTGCTAATGGCCATGAGGCCATGGATGTCGTAGATGAGATGAGAGCCTAAGGACAATGCACTCGTGAAAACCCATGTGGGTATTGCATATTGACAAGGGAGAAGACTACTTATAAAGTGAGAAGAGCTTTCATCCAACCATGATTATGCTACTTGTGAGATAATTCACATGGGCATTATATCTCAAACAAGTCAACATTTGTTAATTAAAAAGAATAAAGTATACAATATTGTGTAAGCAGCGCCACAATGACGTAACGTAGAAGGTAAGAAAGTAGTTGATTGAGACCCAAAAGAGAGAAGGAGTAGGGAACTTCCCTTGAGTTTCCATGGTTCTATATATGGATAAACAACAAGTGGTGGTGTCATATGACTCTGCAAATCCTATAGTTGCCACTCCCAATTTTAACCTTTTCCCTTGATCCTAATATTTAACCCTGTTATCATAAACATGAAGAACTATATGCACTAATGTCGAACGATACCCACGTGATTTTAATTCAAAACTTTTTGGAATCCACATTACATAAATGATGTATAATTCTTATTCAAGATGATTGTTTAATTTGCTTATTTGACCTTTTTCGAGTAGTAATTTTTACATTTCCGTTTTCTTTACACTTATGTTTCTGTTTCTAATCTTTTATGATTCAATCAATCATAAAGCTAGAAAACAGAATGAAATATGAGAAAACTTGAATTTTCAAGGAATCCCAAAAGTCCAACCACAAAAGCTGTAAACTCGCAACATTAGATTAATTGGCAAGAACAGCATACCACACAAATTCAAATCCCCTTCCTCCTGAGTTAGGGTAGATCAAAATATCACTTTACCAAAACAAAGAAAAGCTAAGATAGTAAAGTAATAGCCCAAATCATTGGAAAGTAAACTACGTACTACTGCACTACATCAGTAAATTGTGAGTAGTAACAAGGCATGCATACAGGTACAGAGCAGTATAATATATATATTAATACAAACAATTGTAATTAGTTATCTAGGACTCTCTTGTTTTTTATTTTTTTTTTCGGTCGATATCTAGGACTCTCTAGGTGAAGGATTTAACTGCCGAAGAGGTGGTCACCAGACTTGACAGAAGGCCAACAACGACAGCACTGTTGTATGTGCTCGGCTCCCCTTGCCTCGAGTTGTTCCGGGCATCAATGTATGTTTCGTTTAGGAATGGCCCGCCGACAAGTGCTCCAACGGCTACATTAGGGTTGGGTTTGGTTGAGTCAAGGTACTTGAATCCCTCTTTGCAGCTAGTCTTCTTATTAGCCGGGATAGACGCTCCTCTATGGTGTACGTATTTGGGATATTTATCCCCGTACCCGACAAGGTAGCTCATTTTCATAGGATTGTCGCCCAAGACATAATTCGCCTATAAAATTTGGAACACTTTAGAATGAATAGACGTTTATGAAGGTTGCGGCTGTTTGTTGCTAACATCTGCGCATGTATGCAAAATCTACTTGAGACAAATCAGAAAGCATACCTGAGATCTAACAAATTTCCGAATATCCGATGGCTTATAGGTTTCTCCATCGCATTCTAGTTTTGTGGAGCCAGATGTAAGCATGTAGTCACTGTAAAGAGCAGCTAGGAAAGCAGCAGCAACCGGCTGCTGCAGAGCATTCCATTCGCTGACCCAGATCAGACCATCTGCAAAGTGGACACCATGATGGTAAGCGAAGGAGAATGAGAGACACGGCAAAAAGAACTGAATTACGAGCATATGCAAACCAGCCTAGAAGATTTGAGTGTGGTGCATAATGCTGAAAGGATGCAAAAGAGAATAACATTCCCAACTGATAGCTTGGAAATATCTGAAATCGTGTGCATCGTTGTTGTTTAGAGCTTCATGTTTGCCTAGTATAAGTATCACTTTCTTCTACATAATAGCAAGCAATTGTGTTTATCCTCCCTAATTGTTTTGAAGTGTGAATCAGTTATTATGAACGGTAGAGAAGTTTATCTACAACGGAGGATGTGAGATTGGTTAGTGTTTATAAAGTTATCAGTAATATAACATCTTAGATTAATTGGTGCATTACAATGTAGAAGAGGCGTTGATATAGTTCTGGAGAACTAATCTCGAGGCAGGGTAGCAAGAGCAATGCTTTTGCTTTAACAAGAAGAAAAGATATGCACGATAATCCATGTCATATGACAATAAAGAAGAAGATTACTGTCTGTTCTGCTGCTCGTGGCCGTTGGCGAGTTTGGCAGGAAGCCACATATAACAGCTTCAGCTGTTTTCCTGTACTTTTGAAGGCCAGAATTGTCTGAGGTGTCCTTCCCACCAAAGAAGGTCAACCTGGAGAGCAAAACCTGCAGTAAAAATACAGAGTTGTTCACAAGACTGAAAGACGAATTTTACTCGAGTATAATGGTATCTTATCTTACAAATGAAAGTCCTTCAAATATAGCTACTATAGTAATCCAGGAAGAGCAACGCATTGTCAAATAATAGTTTCTCGGGCGAGTCGCATACTACTGTGGCATTTGACAGATTAAAACACAGCAGAAAAACAAAGAAATGGTTCTCAGCATACCTGGGTTCCTGCAAGCTTGTTATCCCAACTGAACCACGTCGGTTTACCAAATTGAGCAAATTCCTCTCCATTCTCCCCTGTGACGTAATCAAGGTATTCCTTATCCCCAGTCGCATGGTAAAGCCAGGCTGCTGCCCACAAAAGCTCATCTCCGTATCCCGTTGAATTGTAAAATTTCTGGACCTCGGGGATGCTTTCACTGTAAGAGCCTCTGTTTTTATCAGCAAAGGTAAACAGCTTTTTGGCATGCGAAAGAAGCGTGTCTGAATATTTGGCATCACTTTTCTTAAAGACGAGAGATGCTGAAGCCATAGCTGCTGCAGTTTCAGCTGCAACCTCCGTTCCCGGAGCGGAAGTGTTGACCTGTGTTGCCGGCCTCTTCTCAGTCACGTCTTCCGGCCTATACCAACATTCATGGTCCTTTTTAGGGTCACCCACCTGCCCCAGAATATGAATTGGCAAGTCAGAAACGCTTCATAAGCATTTCGATTTGCATGTAATGAATATGATTCAACGTTATACGAACCTGAATGTAGAGCACATTGTCCTTAGGATGAGCATTGACAAGGAAGTCAGTGATCCACTTGAGAGAGGCTTGAGAAGTTTTTAACTGATTCACCGCATCCATCTGATCACCATACTCAAGAATCGCCCACGACAACACTGTGGCGGTATACGCCATTGGAAATCCGAACTTCATGTGATCCCCAGCGTCATACATTCCCTTGGACAAATCCAACTTCGCATCGCTTCCATCTTTCAGACCCGAATCCCCTCTCCACGATATCTTGTTATCCACCAGCTTACCGGCTACATATGACAATCACCCACAACATCATTACAGGTCAAGCACTATACGTACCAACATTTAGTAAACTGGAAATTAATACATCGAAAACTCGCAATGCAAAAGACGAAAAATAACAAAACAAAGATCAAACATTTGTACCAATTGAGGCATTCGGTGATACTGATCATGTGAATTAACTGAATATTTAGTGAAAAAAAATGAACACGTTGCGAATGTAGAGAGAGAAAGGTACATTTCTGGACGTCGAAGAATTGAACGGCGACTTTGAGAGCGTCGGAGTATTTCTGGGTAATGGCGCCGGGAGGCCCCGGAACCGCACCGTCGTCATCGCCGGAGTTTTTCTTTATTTTCTTGACGACCGCAAAAATGACGCCGCCGGCGACGAGAGCGAGGATCACGAGCACGAGCACCCACACCCACCACCCCTTGCACCTCGGTTTAGCTCCCATTTTTCAGGACCAACTAAAACCACAAGAGGTAGGCAAATATTAAGATATCTGTCTTAATACATTGTGACAAGACAAACAGACATTAATCAAGGTTTCGGAGGAGATTAACGTCTGATTAAGCGATGATTGGCGTTCCCTCTCGGATCGGACTTCAGATTTTGTTGTTAAACACGGTTGACAACCGAGACGAGAGGTTAATTTCGCGGTCTTTTTCTGTTTTTTTATTTTTATTTTTGGAGGTTGGTGCTTTGTTTGGATGGTTTGGCGGGATAATCGTTGTCAAATGACGGAAATAGCCCTCGTGCGGGCTGGGAAAACGAACGGACAGATCTGCTGTAAGACTAATTCAGAAATGACGAAGACCTGTGTTTGCCGTTGGATATTTGGGAGGAACAGATGATTTTAACCGTCCAACTGGCCACAGACAGGAAGGCAAACCGATTTCTGGTACGAATGTGCAGTCGACGATCCAGCTTTTGTTAAAAGGCAATTCAGAAATTCTGAACGCGACTTCGATTCTCCTCCATGTTTGACAGAATACAATCATGCGGCTTCGTAAAACGTTGATCGTATTCCGCCAAACGGGGAGGAGAATTGAAGGCACCAAAATCATGTTTTGAAGAGATGTCGTTTCACCAAAGGCACCACTTGTAATATCTGGTTAGAGATTAGGATGAAACTCATGGCACATGTTCATAATATGGCTTTTCTTTTAGCAAAGTCTCAATATTATTCATCTCTGAATAAGCATACACACAATGAGGAATAGTCACGACAAATATATTTCGCTCAAAATTGAAGAGAAGTGAAATTAATACGGCACATAATGTATTACAGCAACTCGCCAAAACTCGATTCACAAAATCGGATTGTGCAGCATGACAGCAGTTTGGCGTCATACAACAACCTATCTTCCGATCTCTCTTGAAAGCCAAGTAACCGTAGCCTCCTATTCTGTCTCTGCTGCATATAGTACAACAGTTCACTATAGAAAAGTAGATCAGGCGAATGCCGTCCTATCAGCGTTATAATCATACAGTGCCATGATTATTCTCTTCCGAATGTCTGTAAAAATCCAGCATTTCTTCTTCCACTGGATGAGTTTTGCCTACAATAACAAGGCAATGGAGAGGTGCTCCAAAATCAACCGACTGCAGTTGCCTCATCGTACCAGAAACGATCTTCTGATCCTCACTTCCCAGCCGCGCAAGCCCAACACACATCGTGTCTTCATTATATGCTGCAAGGTAATGCAAGAATAAAAAATGTAGCAACGGTTATATTGTGCAGAGGCCAGACAATAGGTAACAATCACGTTTGAAGTAAAGATCTGAAAAAATGACTTGGTTACCAGATTCTCCTCGATTGTGCTCAACCTCCAGAAGCTGCTCAATTGCAGTGTTTATCGACATATATCTAGGCGGTTCATACTGCTTCTTTCCTCTGAAAGGGAGGCAAGTAACAAAAATAAGCCTATGCAATCGTGGAAGCACAAAAACACACAAAACCTAAATCACACACAAAACCTAAACCTGCACAACGATTCCAGAGTCGGTTCCTTCACCCGTATGTCTACAGCGAAAATAATTTGTGATGAGTGTATAGTAAGATAAGCATCAAGTGGTGTCAGTTTTTTAAGTATCTAGAACCGAACCTAACAAGCATAGGGTATGCAGTCCAAGCGCACGATTTTTCTGAATCTTCTCATAAAAGCTATCAGGCCTCCATGTCTCGGTGAAGAATGGTATTGAAACTGTCTCTCCGTAGTGGTAGAGTTGTAATCCACAGGCTCCAACTGCATTCATCACCGACGCATTGTGCACCACCTTGACATCAATCCCCAACTTCTTGGCTCGAACGACAAGATCAGTGTGTGTCGTAGCTCTGCGTTTTAGATCAAATTACGCAAGAAAGAATGCAGTAATTAGCGTACGAAGACATTCCTCATAGCTTTTGGATCCATTACACACAATTATATAATTCCAAAATGCTCAATTGATTAAGTCACCATTATTTCGATCATAATTCCGACATTCTTGGAAACTAAATTTTAATTACTTCCCCAATTCCTAGTAAAATAAATAAATTCCACGCATACAAGATTTTTCTAGTTCTGCAGAGAGATTGGTCATACCCAAAAGGATCGCCAACGACAAGGAAGGCGACGTCGGAAGCAGCAGCTGCAGTTAGAATCTGGTCGGCCCTCTCCTCCACCGTTTCTCTATCCGCAAGTATCACTGGTTTTCCGTACAACTTTTCCTGCAATCAAACTTCCATTTCAATTTTTTTGAAAAAGTTGAACAAGTTCTGTAAACAAATAGAGAAGTAGAGAGGGAGAGAGTACGAGGGTGGAGAGGCCGTCGGAGGAGATGCCAAATGAGAGGAGGGAAGTGTAGGCTTCGATGAAAATTTTGTCGCATTTCTTCACAGCCTCTAATCCTCTCAGAGTTATGTCTTTCTCGTCCCCCAATCCCAGTCCGACTATGTACAGCATCTCTCGCTCTCTCTCTCTCTCTCTCTCTCTGGTTTGAAAGTTTGGAACTCTGCAAAACCCTAATTGGAATCCAGGTGCCGCCAACTCGATCCGACGTCGTTCCAAACTCTCTCTCCCTACCCAGTGGCGGCCAGTCAAGACTAAGAGGAAGACGGGGTTCAACGATACGCGCGGGCCGGGCTCTATTCAAGTTCGGGCCTCACCGACAAGATTTTAACAAAAGCCCAACAATTTTAAAATTGGTCCTTGTTTTTTATTTTGCCTAACTCGGAGAAACACTTTGTGTAGTAGAGCTTGGACCATGTCACTTATGTGGGGCATCTCTTTCAAAACCATGACTTTACTGTATTTTTTATTTATTTCAAAGACTTTATTGTATATCGGTCTCACTAGATCTCATGTGATTTTAACAGTGTGAGAGCTACTCTAGAGCCTAGTCATGCTGTTTATACAAATATCTTTCTCCTGAAATCGTGTAGTGTAATTTATTACGTAGAAGTGTAACAAATTACAATACATGAACGGTTCTGCTACTAATAACATCGATGTCTTTTGCAATTAAACTCCACATTGGTTGTGTTAGTGTGCTCCTAGCAAGTGTTTAAATATAAACTGATGATAATATCAGTGCTGAGTAATAGTGGATCGATGAGTTTTGCACAAAGACATTTATATTATTTTTGGTAGAAGATTTAAACCCTTAAGCCAATATTTCCCATTCAGTACATTGATTCAGAGAAAAATAAAAGATGAAACACAAGAAGCACAAGAGAAGAAGAGGAGGGCAAGTTAGAAAACTGCTAATTCATATCTGAATGATCACATGAAAGCAATTGGACTGATTAAGTGTAAAAAAAACAAGAACAAAAAAAGTGAAGATTTCTTCTCGACAATCATTTACTCTTCTTAGCAATATATAGCAGACCTCGATCAGTCATCGTCTTTGAATTCTCTGAAGGACAACAAAATATACACAAATGAGTTAGTTTCATGCATACTGATAGACCGAATATGATCCAGATACAAGAATCATCGCACCTGCGATCAAGGTACCGAGGTTGAATCCCAGAACCCTGACATGTTGTGCACGTAAACGAACCGACCCCTTCGCAGTTGATGCAGTTGGACACCTCTTTCTCACCCCCGCCAAGCTCTACTGTCACCGTCCCACTTCCCGTGCAAAATCTGCATTTTTCTGCGACACATAATTTTCATCACGACACCTAAACGTAAACGCCATGCCACATGAATTCGAGGGTATTACAAGAACAATGTAATAGATTCGAAACCACAAATTTACAAGATGTTTAATATTTGATAAAAAAACACAGCTACCAAGTTGTTAATGTTAGTTACTGCAGGCGCTCACACTGATGTAAGACGATATACATTTGTGAGTGAGTTCGCTACCAAGTTGTAGAAGTATTTTTGTATATATCGTATCGTTTGACGAAAAATACTATACTTACGTGCGCCGGTTCCATTGCAAGGGAAGCATGGCTGAGTGTTGTCTCGCTTTGCCTGCAATTAGCATTATTAATTATATTAATACAACTTATTCAATCAAAATTAAATACTGGGAAGTTGAAAGAACTCACAGCACTGTCGATCTGTGTTTCGTAGAAAACCGGAATGCCAATCCCGACGGCAACACTCACAAGCCCAACTGAGACTGCAACTACCTGCAAATTCATGCCTACTTCAGATTCCACACAAAATTATTGAAAAAAAAAAAAAGGAAAAAAGTTCAAAATTAACGGAAAAGTTGAAAATTAGAGAAAAGAGAACCGTGTTTTGATCGAGATCAATGGCTCTGATGCATGGATACGACTTCGGTGACCGTTGATTTCCTGCAAACTTGTGGGACGCGCAGAAGGAAGAAGGGGAGGTGGAAAGCTTGAAGGGGCAAGAAAGGAAGGGAGAGCGAAGACGGGGGAGTGAGGGTGCTTGTGACATTTCCACGTCTATTTACTGAAACTGAAGTTTGAAGAAGACGGAAGGAGAAGAAGAAATTGCAAAGCGATGGTGGAGTTTGGATATGTGGGGTTGGCAGTTACCTCCAATTTCAACCACCAGACTCTCAAGAGCTTTTTCCATCACACACTGAACTCAACGTTCCTCCCTCCTACGTGGCTCCCTTCCTTTGCTGGTGAAAAAGAAAAATGAAATCTTTTGAATTTCGCATTATGGAAGCCCAATATCTCGTTCAGCTGGGTCCAGCCCATCTTAATTTTAGGAGAAAAATTTCGGTGGAGTTGAGTCACCACGTGGCTGGTCAAATCATTTATCACATGAAGAGAAAATGAGGTGGTAGGACAGGAGAAAAGACAATATAGAGCAGTTGAAATTCTCTCCGGATCCCTTTCCTCTGAATCCTTCAAATCTCTGCGTTCTCCGATTGGTGTTGGCTCCAACTGCCAACCCACCACTCCCACACTGTCGTCTTCCAGGCTTCGGTTGCCCAAAACTGGAACCAAGTCCTCCCAGATTGAGAAAGAAGAGAGTTAGAGAGAGAGAGAGAGAGAGAGAGAGAGGGGTAGAAGATGAACATGAAAAAGCGAAAAAAGAAAATAAAGTTTAGTTAATTCCTTGTCATTCAATGTTCGGTTGAACGAATAGGATTGAAGGATCCGGATAATCCAGATGGAAGGGATCCGAAAAGAATCCTAATCCAATGTAAGGGGCTCTCATGTGTGTGTAGTTGGTCAGTCATATGATTAGACGGGTAAACCTTAGAATTCACACTCAAAAAAACAAAAACAAGCCCTATATTCATGTATCATCTCACCCCGTCCAAGTAGGTACAATGCCAATGCACTTGGTCGCCCTGCCTTACTAAAGTTTTTCCGACATCTTGACCTGATGAAGTGGCGTTCAAAAGTTCAAACTTAACCACAAATGATATCCCGTCTATAACCAACAAATAAAGATTTGGTGCTTTCAATTTAGATTATTTCAAATTACTTATCATAACCCAAATTTATATACATCAACATCTGATTCATCTTTCTCCTGACTCAACTCCGATTCCAATACCACGTTCGTTATATTCTGGTAATTGTTCAATCAGCCCCTACAATATATCAGAACCCTTTTTATCTGCTGAATTGCGTTCAAAGATGAAAAAAACGAATGAAACAGCCGTTCAAATAACCGTCTTTTGTCCACCTACGCAAATCTAAAAACGTGAAATTTCAACGGCTTCCTGCAGAACGAGCTTTCCTCAACCTTCCACGTGTGACCCGAATGGTTTCCTCCATAACTGTCTCTTTCGGGGGAGGATTTGTCTCTTCAGTCGCTGAAGAGGATGGCACTGCGTCAATCTGCATTGGTGCAACCTCTTCAGTTGGGGTAGCTTGCCTCGATGATTCAGATGCAGCTGCTGTTGCTGTTGCTGTTGCTTTTAGAGTAACTGAAACTGCTGCTTGCGGGGCAGGTTTAGGGTTTGGTGAAGATGCTAAGGCTTCGGCTATCTCCTTTTGGTCCTTGCTTGAAGAAGTACTGGAAGTGGGAGACGGCGGTTCTTCGGGTTGTGCTTGCGTTGTTGCAGCTGGTTGGCGACTTGGAGCTGAAGCAGCAGGGGGTTGGCGAGCAGCAGGCGGTTGGCGCCTAACACCTTGTTGTGGCTGCAATTTCAAGAGTAACACACATGCATACCGGAATGCAGAGTATTAAAGAGATGTGACATACAATCAATAACTCGTGTATCAACACAGCATTTCATCTAAGGTAGGATGACTTCCAATCCAGTACCAACCTCACCAAGGCATGAACGATCAACTATAACTAAATGGAAGAAATACACACACACACACACACACAATATCCCCAAGTTCAAACAAAATAACCTTGAAAGAATAGACGATGAAAAGGCAAAGCATAGTAAAACACCAACATAACAATTCAACACGCACAAAAAATAAATATCTGAATGATAGAAAGACAATAACGTTTTGATAACTTGCTCCAACGGACTGGATGCCCAGACTGGCGATGTTGCAATCAATAGTGATGGGACATAATGGTAAAACTGAAAACACCAAGTCCGAATCATATCATAATACCTGCGCAGGGCGAGGGCTTGGTGTCGATTGTGCGGCAACATACTGCAAAATGTCAAATATTCTCGTCTGACTATAGCTTGCAGCTCTTTGCCAATACAAAATTGCCATGTCACCAGCTCTAGTTCTCAGTTCCAACAAGTTCCTATCAATTTCATTTTCATGCTTCGCAAGATATGGTCTAAAGAAGGAATCATACACATAGGTCGTACCCTGCAACACGGAGATGGTTGTGAGCATGAGGAAAGGTATACTAGTAATAAAAGGGCAAACAAACAATTAAATAAGCTGATAATCTGAGTCCAAAAACCCTTACGGAATCCTATACCTTTGTTTTAGGAAACCACAGATATATAATGAAGAGCAACTTAGCTTCGCTATACATTGGAACCCTTCAAGAAAAAAAAAACAGAATGAGACAAAGAAGTGGCACACAAAAGCATATTTAAATTCTCTCAGCATTCCAATCCAAATCCCCACCATGAAACAAAAGCATCACCAACTCTCTCACAAACAGTCAAAACAGCCACCAAAATCCTGAAATTCAAGGATGAAAAGCGGGTCATCGCTAAGAATCATAAGGACAAATAGAAGACTATCTTAGACACAAGACGGGGTTTATACCAATACTGGCACCAAAAGCGAAGCTGTTCAATCTCTGGCTTGTTCTTTTCAACAGTTTTGTAGCACTCATAAGCTGGATAAGCATATCCAAGAGCCATCCTGTCAAATGCCAAGACATAAAACCCGGGAATTAGATTTGAAAATAATCAAACATCCCTTGAAACGCAACCTAAAGCGAAGGCCAATCGATGACATACACTAGTGTTCTGGTAAGAAAGGATCCTATCATCTTCTTTATACCTGCCCATACAAAAGAAAATAAGCGCTTGGTCAAACAAATCGTCTGGAGTAACAAAAGAAACATAAAATAGCTCACTTCAATACCAAGCAACTACCGAATTTTCGACAAACAACATATCAAGTATACTTCTTGAACCTTAGTAGCAGTGCAAATTGGATTTGTTTTAGATAAACAAAATCACTAAACAAATTAAGAGCAGAACAAAATCACAAGTTCACAACAGGTAGAGCTGATACAATATTCAGATTCTTAACAAAAATAATGGACTCATTTTTTGTTGCTTTCATAAATCATAAAATGTTGATCCTCAGATTAAAAAAAAATTCGTTTCGGTTTCCAGGAATTTGTAAGTATTTGAACAGAATATTTTCTAAATTCCTGGAAACCGAAACGAAAATGTATCTGAGCGCAGTTGGATTTGAATTGAATTTGGGATTAGCAAAATCCCCTGAGCTCAGTGCACAACCAGATTTGTAAGAACAGCCGCTGAAGCATACGATTATACCGCACAGAAATTAAAATTTCTTAAATTTTGCAGACAAAATAGAAATTACAAGAACTAAAAGCAAAAAAAAATTATGAAAATAATAGGCAAAAAAATCATTTACATTTCTAAAAGGAAAATTAAGAATCCAATAATCTGATGCTGAAAAGAGTCGATACATTATGCAATCTCATTTTTCATGAAATAAAATCGGTTTTCAAGAAAATATTCAAAAAATAAACAGTAGCAATTAGATTTTTAGAGAGAGAGAGAGAGTACCTCTCAAAGACTAATTTGAAATTTGAACGGAATCAACGGATTGAAAAGAAAAACACTGAAAGTGAAAGTTACTAGAGAACTCGAATCGCCGAACAGCTCGGATATCGCCGCCGTAGGAAAATGGCGCCGCCGAAAGTCTCGAAGAACCGTTACGTTATCGGCGGCGTGAGAGAGAGTGAGAGACAAAGAGACAGGTGTTTGTGCCGTTTAAAACTTTAAATTGCCATTTGTATGTGAGTTTTGCTTTTTCTCCTCAGGCGTCGGATTTGATATGATGCGATGAGTCTTTGCTTTTGGGTTCCGTCATCATGGAGAGCGGGTTCGCTGTGTGCGTGTGCATATGTAGAACAAGGCCATACGCACTACGGCACTAGGGCTTGAATCACCGTTAAAGGTAAACACGCGGCTCAAGTTTTTCCTTAACTCCTTAAAAGAACGATTTATATGGCACAGAAATTCTATTATTAAGGTAACTCGCGACAGTTATATAACGAAATGCATACCATAAACATAGCTCTTTATCTCAGAGCTCACACTTATTATAATTTTTGCGATAAACAAAAATGATATGTTATAATTTCAAAAATAAATTTACTTATTATAATATTAATAAATTAATTATATCAAGTGACAGTGTGACCTTCGTAGTTAAAAAAACTTTTCCGGCCCACGGCCCACGTCCCCAACAACTTTCCATTTAAGGCATGGTTCGGTTTGTGCCCTTTTGCCACTTCAAGATTCACAATAGGTTTGGAAAAACATTATTTTTGGTGGAGCATGTAGTGGCATTTCGGTAAACTAATAGAGTGGGGTTAAGACATTATGATTGATTATAAATTATTTGATTATGGATGGGATGGATAGAGGTATACAGTGGGGTGGGGTCTACGGAAGTAACGGTAACCTCCCTGGGTCCCTAAGGATTTTTTAAATATAACATTTGGCCGCTCTTAATTGATTAGGATGGTTCGATTCCGTTATTATAGAGGTGTGCTATCCACACTATTTTTACTTTATACACATATTTTTAATTTTTATTTCATACACATCTTTTTAATTTGCGATCGTCGGATTAACTGAATTAAAGAAGATCAAATGATATAAATTAACAAGAAGTGTGTAAGGAATAAAAAGGTTGTCTGGATATCACACTCCTATTAATAAACAATGCTTAACAAAAGCATGAGGTTCTATATGATTTGATCCCACTGGTAATAAATTTATTAATTAGATACCAAGAGGTTAGGACTTTTCATTTTGCCCAAGCGATTTTCTAATTTGATTTATATCATAAGGAGTAAAATTCAAACTTAGTTGTAAACGAGGGAGCACAATGCTATTAAACTTGAATAAATAAAGTGTGCGCCACGAGATTCACGAGATTAAGTAAGTATTAAATTTGTTATTTATGTGAATCGACCTTAAAACGTGTCACCTACAAATGAAAACGACAATCAATACACCATAATTGTGATGACATACGAGATTGGGACGGTGAGGTTTTGGGCCAGGTAAAGTGGGCTCAAGATCGGGCTGGAGTTGGTAGCTAGAGGCCAGCTTGGTAGGGCTGGCTGATGGAGGAAAAGGTCGTGCTCCTTTTACCCTTTTTGTCCGCTCCCACAAAGAAGAAGCAAAGAGAGAGAGAGAGAGAGCATTTAATTGGACAAATAATTTAAAGTTAAAAAGTACAAATGAAAAATAAGATTCTCCCCAACTCGACTGCTGCCATCGAGTGTCCATTTACACGCCGATTCCATCATTCATTTTACAAGGAAAAAAAAGGGAGACTTGATGGTTTCATGCATGCCGAGTGAGCAGCATATCATAAGTTTTGCTAAAATCAACAATTTGAAACACAAATATCAATATATAAAAGGCCATTCATATATGAGGAAGGACTTCATCCACCGTGACATCCCGTGTTAATAAAATATTAAATTTTCTTTATATAACATTTGGTTATTAATGTGAAACATATTTTAACAGCGTAACAATGTCATGAAAATTATTTATATTTCATATGATATGTCAAATTTTCATGAGATTAGAGGCATAAAGGGGGAGGCATATGGAAAGTAGGGGAGGTTTTCGAAGCCTTGGATTCTCTATGTTTCTCTCAAATGAAATTATAGCTAGTACTAGGCTAGTAGCAGTTGGATCGAGTAGTGATCCAAATAATCCAGTAGCATTCCATCTCAGGGCACAAGCGGAACCTTCCCCTGCCTTCTCTTTCCCCTCATATCATGTGCTGCTTATTATTTTTGTTTGTTGGCCTGTCTTTCTCATACCCTTCACCCTTACCCCCACACCCATTTTTACTCTCTTTCCCTTATGTTTATTTTCTTGTCCTTTTCGTAAACCTTCAAATCCTCTATGTGTTTTTTTCTTTTCAAATCAATGCACAGTCTCATGAGCGTTATTGGTTTATTGAATATTACCATGTATTTAAAATTTACCACAACTATTCAATAAACATTTGGCATGTGACGTCCTAGGTTAAAGTTCTTGATGCACAAAATCAATGAAGACTTTGAAAAAACGTAAAGTGTCAAGTTTGTGACCTTCACTTGGTTGCTCCGGTTACTAGTGAGGATAATATGTAAAGAGATAGAGATAGGAAAACAAACACAAGATGTACGTGGTTCACCCTAAGTTTGGCTACATCTACGGAGTAGAGTTCTCATTAATAGTGAAGAGTCTACACAAATACATAGGTTCAAGCATAATCATCATTAGTGGGTACTAATGACTAGTTTAAGTACAATAATGACATTATGGATTCATTGTAGGAGAATGATCTTTTTTTATAGCTGAGGAGAGTCTCCAACTTTTGTCCACGATTGATGCGAGACTCTATGAACTTTATTCTGACGTTGACATGTGTCGTGTTGTCATTGGGCTCTTGGTTGGAGGGAAACTCATATGCTTCGGCATGAATGCCTCAGTATAAATCCCTCAGTGGATCTTTGAATGTATGAAGTTGGCCGATGTTTGGTAGTTTCGGAATTAGTCAAGTATGATACAAACAAAAGTATCTCTCTAATTCATGACATATAAAAATGAACGAAGAGTTAGATGTGCAATCAATAATACAACTAAAAAGTTAACGACAAATAATCCCAGTATGCATCCGACACAAAATATAAATACCAGTATGTACTATAAACCGAATCATAGTAAAAAATTCGATATAACGAACTCTATCTGTTGGTCTTTCAATATATAATTTGACCTGTGAATCATGAAAGAGAATTATCACCATCGAGCTCTAAACACGTGTAACGTCAGTTGCACCAAATCTTTAAATTGTGATTTGCGACTTGCGAGTACGTAGGCCATTCAAATCCTACTTTGAGTGATGGTTATTAGTATTAAAATCCGTCGTAGATAAGAAGTTAGGTGAAATTGTGGTGGCTCTTTGAAGCGCATCAAATAGAATTTTTATTAGCACTGCTTGTGTCATTTGCGTTTAAATAAACGAGCTGCAGTGACAGCATATCCAACTCTACCTACTACCCACTAGTGCTGCTATGTCGCCAACTACTAATTTCCAAAGCGTATAATCTTAGGTCAAACCGTCTAATTAGTAGCGGATTTAAGATTCGAATGTTAGCTGTTCTCACTTCTCAAGGTTAAAGATAAGTTTTTTAATAGAAATAGATAGAAATGCGCAAAAAATTTCATTTTATTCACTAAGGCACTTAGCCAAACTTTTGGTGGACTTCTTGTCGTCAGCCAAACCATATTGCACAAGTCAACAGATACCGATATTTGCCTAAACAAGATGATGAGTGCTATTGAGAGACGCAACTTGTCGAGTGCTGTCGAGATATTCCTAGCAGACATTACATCAAACACTTGTTGGTCACAAAAGACACCCATACTAAACAATCGAAAGATCTTCACATGTATATTTCTCATACTCTTGGTTGTCATGAGACCATCTTAGCCCCAATGTATATCCACCACTGCGTTAGAAACTACATGTCATGCTACACAATATGAACACGTTAGAAACTATACTGTTAATGTTATCGAATCTTCAAATTTTTGGGTTTACTGGCTCGCAGAGTATGAGCTTCTGCCAAATATGGGCCTTCGAATCCTAAATCTTAAACATTGGGGCCCAGATACACATAAGCCACGACCCATAGATTGCAAATCCTGCAAGAAAAAAATTTGCAGGTTTACAGATAAACAAAAGACGAATAACTAGTAGTGTACATTTTGCACGCAGTGGTTTTGCCTACGAACATCCATATAACTAGTCGCAACTCAGCGGAGTGATTTTGTTCTTTCAAATCAGTTCGGTGAAATTTTGGTCCCGCTGAGAATGTACCCACCGAATCCATTCATCTGCATGCATGGATGAGTTCTTGATGGAAGTACCTGAAAAGAAATTATTTGCAATCAGTCTCGTTTCAGCACAGGAATCATCCTAGAAACACTAAAGAACGCATCAAATAACGGTGTATAAAGTTACAGAAACATTAAACCAGGAATTAACAATGGACTTGGCACAACGACAAGAAGAATTAGCATCTCAGCGTGGCCAGTGATGGTCCTCGCAAAATCAACAGGATGGTATAAATAGATTACGACAGAAGTTGAGCTAGGAAACTTTCTCAACGCTTCCATCATACATCTTAAGCAAAAACAGGAATTCTGATAGCAAAATGACATTAAAATCTATAGATTTAGAACTCGCAGATCAGAACAGATACATAAAGAATATACCGAACAAACCTGATATTCACGTAACCAAGGTTCTGAAATTTGCATGCCAATCGCCATTTTCCCCTGCTGTAAATTGTGCATGCATGTTGCAAGAGGCTGCATATTAAAAAGTATAACAGTTTTAGTTTATTCGTCTACAAACGGGTGAAGAATCCGTATGGGAAATTATTAATTTGGTATTATCAAGTATTTGAAGCTAACAACCTGAAGATACTGTTGAAAAATAGCAAAGGGAGCAGAATTTGACATAAGTGGCAAGATCTCTTTAACTAAGCCCCATGCATCCAGCTCCGGTGCTGCTATTATTAAACTGCAAAAAGAATGCAGAACCATCAACTAGATGCTACTTTCAACTAGTAAACTAAACAAATGACAACAATATTTACCTAGAGAAACCATTTTCTTTCCACGAGCTAATGATTTCCTGTGGTGCATTTTCTCCCAATTTTGCAGGTTTGGATATTTTGATTACTGGAGAACTGGTAGACTCGGGAACAGGTTCTGATATCACATTTTCAGATGTAAGAGTTACTTCTTCCGTACTGACTGCTGAAAAAATTTGGCCCTGACAAAAAAAATATAAGAGTACCTGAAACAATTAAGAAACTGCAAGGAAAAAAGTTGTGCAGACTAAAATGAAGTGTCACTTACATTTGGCCGAAATTCCATGTTACAGGAGTCCGTGTCCTGACTGACTGGTTTGGGCAGTCCGTTTTGGAAAGATAAAAGGTCAGTGAGAGGAGACTTCACAATCCTGGGACAAAAACACGATATATCAAAAGTTGGTTACATGAAGAGTGTACCCTTCCTATTTTATGTAACTCAAAGGCAGATGTACCTCTTGCAAATTTCATCTCCAAAGTTGAATATCCTCGCTATATCCATAGAATAAGGCGAGCCACCGAGATATGTATTGCAGACATAGCCCATACCTGTCAAACATAGCATTCAACATCCGAGGTGTCATAAGAAAATTGTTGCAATCACACAAAGTAGCCATAACAAATAGATTTCCTTTTCCCTTGGATATAATTTACTTCAGTTTCACTACTTCAACACCCATAATACGTGTAAATTGAGAAAACATTCGAAGCTGCAAATAGTAAAGGGCAATTGGGGTAAAAAAAAATATATAGCAGACCTCCTAAACGCTCCGCCACGGCACCAGTTAGAAGTCCTCCAACCATATCCACTACGAGGACATCAGAATTTGCAGAAACATTAGCCATGGAAAGCAGAAGAGACAATGTATCCATCCGCAAGAATCTGAACCAAAGGCAATCATATGATACGTAAATTCTCAGCAAATAATATGGGAAAGTAGCTCACCAAAAGTAGAGGAAACTCATAAGTGGCCCCTTACCCAATTTTATTCGGATATTTCTTTAAGTACGCCTCACATATACTGAGAGAAACAGCAAACAACAAGTAGTCAGTAAAAATAATCCGAAATTCTAAATATAGATGCAGATTCAGAACGGCAGCCAAAAAAAATGCCAAGTGCAGAGATAGTTCTCGCTGATAGAATGGCAATATGACTTCAAAGTAAAGCTCGTGCTTCAGAAATAAGAGGTAACCTTCTAGTGAATGGGCGCCTCATAAGGACAATGGGAGCATACTTCTTTTGCTTCTTAAGCCTATATTTCTCCTGCAGACAACAGACAGACAAGAAATAGGATCAGCTTACCTCAAATGAATACAATGTGGTACTCAAATGATCTCAATTACCTGTGAGAAAACAGTTTTCATCTCAAACGTCGCACTGTTTGCAATGAGAGCTTCAACTATTTCATCACCCGTTGCACCCTGTCTGCAATTATCCTTGTATAAGTCCACCAAAATGTACAAAAGAAGCCAAAATACCAATTAAAGTTTGTTCTCACTGTCGGATTGCGTTAATGTCTTCACCGGTTAGGCTCTGCGCCTTATTGTTATCGACTAATGCTCGATTATCTCTAAACTCATCTACTGATTGAATTTCACCTTTTTCGGGAACATTATTACCTATACACATAAATTCAAGAAAAAAGCCAAATATCAAGCAAAATACAAAGTCAGTTATCCCAAGTTTTACAATAACACAATCAAATTAATAATTGAAACAAATTAAAATTAAAAACCAAACCTTCCGTGGACAGAGTGTAGCGGGCCAAATACGGGCCTTCAGCTCCGTTTTCGACCCGAAAGAAAGAGCCAAAGGGGCAGCCAATCAAGGGCTGCAGAGAGCAATTCTTATTCCCAATTTTCACTTTCCTGCACATCCATTCCGCATTCAGCTGTAAGAATTCTCAACAACTCGAAACACAAAAACAGAACAAAACTGATAGCAAAAGACTACTTACGCTCCGGCAGAGAGGCGGGCGAAAACCAGACGGTCGCCGTCGTTGATGTCGAGCAAGACGGAGCAACCGTCCCAGGTGGCTCTAGGGTTTTCAGATAATTCGATTTGGGGCTTACTTTCAGAAATTTCCATTCTTTGTTATCTTTTACTGAATTTTGAACTGAAGCAGCAAGTACAACTACAAGCTAAAACCCCAACGGTCCCCGACTTTTCGCATATCTAGGGTTTTAGTCACGACGACGTTTCCTGTTTTTTCAACTTACGCGAGACCCGCGAGAAAAAGAGATTCGAACTATTCGCGGGTGCAGCGTTGGGTAGTTTGGGCCCTATAAATCTGGAACGTGGGGGAATTGTATTACTGGGCCTAGAGTCCAGCCCGATATTGATTGGACTCTCGTCTTAATCCGATTGTTGCAAATTAAAGTATGAAAAAAAGGGGTAAATTATAGGTGAATTTACATTCTCGATGAACTTGTACATGTTTACTTGAAATTAAGGGGTGTTATGAATGAGCAATGTTAAGAGGACTCTTTCAAAAGTGAAACTCTTTATGGACTATCTGCCACCTCATGTTTTTTACACAATGTTTTATAATAGTGGCACTGGAATTAACGTTAAAACAAGAGGTAAAAAAGAGTCATAGAAAGTCTTACACTTTTCTTCTTGTTTTCCTTTCTCTATAAAAAAATCAACACAAGATTTGATGCGGCTTAATAGTAACTATTCAAATAAGAGGGAAGAGAAGGAGAATGAGGTTTGAAGGAAAGAGATATTGCCATACAATTGGAGATACATTTCTTCATTTTTCATGTGATCATACATCCCCAATTACATTTAAGATTTCACTAATAGGTAGATAACCAATAGAAGTAATATACAAGTGAAAATATGAGGCATTGGACAAGACAGCCATATCGAAGTACGTAGTTGACATGTAGCATTGGACAAGAATATATATAAGGCACAGTAAGAAAATACGAGGCACATGCATGCATGCCTTCATTCGTGGAGATATTGCTGGCAATCAAACTGTGATGAACTTCTGTTTATATTTAACATTATCAATGAGGAGCGACGTTGACAATGCATGCGGTTTGTGAAGATAATATAAATATTTAGCAAACATAGTTGATAATAAAATGAAGAATGCATAATTATATTTAGGTTCAAAATTAAGAACAAAGTACGTAACAGAGCTAGCTAACTCCAGCTTTAGTACTTTGAATCTGATTAATTATATTCTTAATTGATCATCTTAATTACACGTATATGGGTGAAAATTCTTTAATTGTTGTCCAGTACGGATGAGATGCAGAAAGGTTTGGTTCCCTGGGTTGGCTGACCGACATATGGACACCACCTTTAAACACTGCTTATCTTTAGGCAGTGGTTGGCCAAAACCAATCTCATTTCTAACTGCTCCCAAAATAATACCCCATGTTTATGCTTTATTTTTCTAATTAATTATTATAATATACGTAAGGATCTCAAACCTCTACATTTACTTGTTGTGCATTCACCCGCATTTCGCTCTATCTTGACCATTATATGTTTTAGGTCGTTGGATTATTATAATGGTCAAGATATAGCAAAATGCGAATAATGCACAACAACTCAACAAGCAAATATAAAGACACATAATCCATATATTAATTACCACATGTGTGGGGAGCTAAGGCAGCTAACTTAAGGCCATCTCCAACCGAAGGAGGGCCAAAGGGCTCCCTTTAGCCTTATAGCCCTATAAGAAATTATAATTTAATCAACAGTATACCATCTCCAACCGAGGGGGCCAAAGAACCATAGGCCAAACATAGTTTATTATTTTAATTAAATTAATATGGTTAATTAAATTAAACTACCATATTAAAATAAGGTTTTCGAACATATTTTAAGTGCCACTTGTTGCCAAATGAATAAGCCTCCGGATTTCTTATCTTGATATAATCTCAATAATTTTTTGGATAGGATTTCGAGTAACAACGTGTCGCTAACGTGAGTAACTCTCCAAATTTCTTATCTTTATGTAATCTCAATAATTTTTCGGATAAGATTTCGAGTGACACGTGTCGCTAAAGTGAGTAACTCTTCAGATTTCTTATTTTTATGTAATCTTAACAAAATTTCGGATAGGATTTTGAGTGCCACGTGTCGAGATGTAATTGGTTGTGCAAATTTTAAATAGGATTCTTATCTACATGACACTTTTTATCTTCAATTTTCAATGTTGTAGGAATGGTGTAGGTATGTATAGGGAAAAAAATAGATTCTTTTTTTTTAAATTCGTCCAAAAAAAAATATTTCAAATTCCAACAGTAACTTGACGGCAGCATAACATTAGCTAGCCGTTACTAGTTGGCGTCATGCTAATGTCAGGTAACCGTTGAAATTCAAATGGGCTGAGCTGAAGTGTTGGCAAAATGTCAAGCTTGACATTGTGGAGCTGGAGGGCTGGCTGGCTGGCTAGAAATAGCCAGAGAGCTAGCCTGATTTGGGGGTTTGGGCTTGGTGGGGCCCACAAGCCATTTGGCCTAGCCCTCGGTTGGAGACGGTTTTCTTGTAATTCCGAGCTATTTTTAACTCTATGGTCCTTTGGCCGGGTCAGTTGGAGATAGCCTAACTGGACTTTGAGTCTACTCTATGCAGATGGTTGTCCTTCCGTCTTTCCTAAACAATGTACAAATCTAATTTCCCTTAATATATATCCGGTTATTTGTTTAGGGTTTCTCTTTTGCGATCTGCTTGGTTTATCCTCTTCATGTGTCGCCTTGTTTAAATGCCGTCGTGTTTGACGGATGACATACGAAATGGATACGATTTTCATACATAATTGAGTATTTTAGTGTATCCGTCCCTGGCTAGGAATCTAAAAAAAAGTAACGTAAGAGGACGAGCTGCATGCGACATATTGATCTTGTATTGGTATGGAGTGAATCAGTCAATTTAGTGGGTGGTTCTTTCTCCTTCGATCTGACAGTATGTGAAAGCACAGAGTTTGAAGGTTTATTTGGGTGTGGCAGGTTCTGCAGATGAGTGTGCTGAAATAGATGGCTTGTTAATTGCAGGGAGAGGATCCCTGAACTGGATGTATCATATGTGAGAGTGGGAGACATCGGAAGGCGGAATAGAATTATATACAGAATTAGTGAATCTGGTACAGTCCAAGTCGTAGTTGTTTCCTGTTCTTTCTCCGTGTTTTATATGATGGAGGATGTCTCTTTGGCTCTCTGCACTTTACCTTTTTCTTCCTTTTCGATTCTGGACCCCCATTTTATCATGATATGCACACAAATAAACGGAAATGTCCACAGCTTTAGGGACTGTGTCTCTACAGGCCCTCATCCATAAAATGAAAATACACGTTTTGAAACTGGCTCTAAAATATTGTTTGGTCATCTTCAGTCATGGAAAACTAAACGTAGCTCTTGGCTATGTTTTAGCTCTCTAAAAATTAATATTTTAAGGACTTCTTTGGATCTAAAATTTTCCCATCTCCAACCATATGCAGCACTATATTTTATGGATCCTGAGTCTATACATTTAGGTTTTACGTATCTACCTGCGTTTCGCTGCATAAAAAAACCTAACGGCAAAACTAGTTAACAGAGTTTGGAAATTATTTTCTTAGAAAAAGTAAACTTAATTGTAGATAACGTGTCATACTTTGAATCTTTAGATTATTATAGTGCACAAATCTTAAATGCAGAGACTCGTGATCCATATTTTATTACTCTTTTAGGCCAAACTTAGTCTACGCTGGGCTACATGTTGTCTGCCCTAGAGCTAAATTTAACCTAATTTTTTTAGCCTGATTCCCTTTGATTAGACCTTTGGTTGGAGACTAATTTTACATTTAGAGCTAAATATGGTTTATAGCCCTTGGCTGGAAATGGCCATGGTGACTTAATGAAGGAAAAATTATTAGTAAAATAGTCATACATACATACACATCCTCACTTGTAAATGAATTCATCTTCATTCGTAAGACATGTTGATATTGTACAAATGAATTGTACATGTTTCATGCTTCACATTTCTTGTACCAGAATTTTTTGTCGAGTTTTTTCATTCACAGTTTTTTGTTGTTGATTCCAATGAGGTCCTTGAGTGCATGCATGCTTCTACATTCTGTGTAGATTAGCTTAAATAAACAAAAAGTATCGTCAGTGCAAGAGATTTTTTCATATAATCAGAACTATATTTATCTTCTGTATCCCAAATTCATCTCTTATAAATGAGATAAGCTCCATATACAAGTTTCTCTCATCGTTTGATAGTTTCAACTTTTTCAATCCCAAAACTGGCGGATCCAAACAAAACTTTCAACTTTGAGTGCAAAAACAAATTAAAGAACGTGAGTCGAAGAGAATAAACAAAAGGACCAAGAAAGCACAAGAGAAAGGCTCCAATAAGACAGCATACAAAGCACTTCTGATCTCCGAATCCACGACAAGCCGTCTAACTACATCGCACATTAACATGTTATTTTATCCTTCCCTTGCATCTCCTGACCAGTCGCACTCAAGTAGCCCTCTCTCAGCCGTTGATTGAACCGACTCAATGACAAGGTCAACCTTCTTCTTATATGCTTCAAAGACAAACGGACCTGGATTGTTTGCCCTCCCCATCCCATACCCTTCTCATCCTCTCCTATATTATGTGGTCACGGTTAAGCCACGTCAACATTTTATATTGATTTTTTTATAGAAATAATAAGACAAAAAGAGCTTAACCGTGGCCACAGAAATAGGAGGAGATGGGAAGGGTATGGGATGGGGAAGGCAGACAATCCAAGTCCAAGACAAACATGGTAGGTAATTCAGAACCGGATGCAAACGTTATGATCAATTTTGATAAATCATGAGTTTTTAAATATGGTGTTACTATTTCATTCAAATTATCATAGGGTGTTATTATTTCATTCAAATTATCATGTGGTGTTATTATTTCACTTAAGCTATAATATATATGTAACATCCCACATCGCCTAGGGGAGTGGATCATGTAAGCCTTATATGTATATTCTCATCTCTACCTAGCATGAGGCTTTTTGGGAGCTCACTGGCTTCAGGTTCCATTGGAACTCCGAAATTAAGCGAGTAGCACGCGAGAGCAATCCCATGATGGGTGACCCACTGGGAAGTTCTCGTGTGAGTTCTTAGAAACAAAATCGTAAAGGCGTGGTCGGGGCCCAAAGAGGACAATATCGTGCTACGGTGGAGTCGAGCCATGGATGTGGTGGGGGCCCGGGTTAGAATATGACAATTTGGTATTCGAGCCAATC